CAAAATCAATTATGGAGAAGCTATTTTCCGGAAAGTTTTTTTCAAAAACATATTTTTTGACGTTTGGCAATTACATGAAAAACTACTAAAAAATATATTTTAGCATTTTTTTTTGTTATAGAAAACTCGAAATACAAAAATAGGTTGTGATTGTTATATCAATGCATCTTAAGAAAACTTCAACAAGGTATATTCACAATTTCATAATATAAAATGAATTTAGAAAATTATAATAAATTTTTATAAATACCGACTCTAAGATTTAAATTCAAAAAGTAAAAAGATAAAATGTATATTTTTAACCATCAAACCAATTCATCAAAACTACTTGAGACAAAATCAAGTTAATATTCACTGTCGATAAAAAAAATCTAAGTAATCCTAGGCTCCGTTTGTTTGACGGAAAACAACTTCCATGGGAAAATCAATTCATGAGGAAGCTATTTTTCAAAAAATTATTTTCTAAAAAAATATTTTCTACTGTTTGGCAATTACATAAAAAAACTATTGAAAAATATATTCCAAGCATTTGTTTGATATGGAAAATTAAAATACAAAAACAAGTATATGATTGTTACATCAACAAGTTTTGAGAAAACTTCAAAAAGGCATATTCATAATTTCATATTAAATTTTCAGAAATACTAATTCTAAAATTTTAATTCAAAAAAATAAAATGTACTTTTTTAACCATCAAACCAATTCATCAAAATTACTTGGAACAAAATCAAGTCAATATTCACATTTAGTAAAAAAAAAAAATTTCTAAGTAATCCTAGCATTGTTATTTTGGTAATTCAATTAAATTTTTTTTTAGAAATTGAACTGATATTTTAGTCTAAAAAATAATTTTATAAATTATTAGTTATCATTTATAAATAATTATTCAATTGGTTTCAAAAGATTAATGTTGAAATTATTTGTAACTAATTATTCACTACAATTACCAACAAATTTTTACAACTGATTAAAATTACAAATTATTGATTTAGTTGTAAATGAATAGTGTTGAAAAAAATATATTTATTAATGAATTAATTAATTTTAAATTTTTTACAAAAAATTACGATCTTGTAATAATTATTTTCAATCATTTAAGTATAGTGTAAGTGGTGTTTGAGATAATACTAAAAAAATAAAGATAAGTTATTGAAATATTTATTATAAAACTAATTTTAAGGTGGAAAAATGGTTTTTAAGAATATTTAATGTATCTATAAATCAAAAAATCAAATATTAGTAGAAATAGAAAAAAAATTAAATAATAAATAATAATTGGTAAGGAATAATTAAAAATTAATTTGATATATTTTAAATAAAAAAAAGATAGAGAAAAAAATTGTTAAAATATACAAAGAGACAAGTAAGTAACGCGAGAGTGAGACATCACGTGAGAAGGAAAATGTTTTCCTCTTTTCAAACCGGGAAAATTTTTTTCCAAAAATACTTTATCATGTTCCATTGATTGGAAATCATTTTTCGTTGACTTTTTTCTTAAATGCGAAACAAATACTGAAAAAATAAGGAAAACAAGTTCTTGGAACTTGTTTTCCCCTAAACAAACACAGACCCTAGCATTATTATTTTGGTAATTCAATTAAGAATTCTTTTTTGAAAATTAAACTGATAATTTAGTCTAAAAATAGTTTTACAAATTATTAGTTAGCATTTGTAGATAATTATTTGTTTGGTTTCAAAAGATTAATGTTTGAATAACTTGTAACTAATTATTGAGCACAATTACCAACAAAATTTTACAATTGATTAAAATTAGTCACAAATTATTGATTTAGTTGCAAACAAATAGTGTTGAGAAAATAATATATTTATTAATAAATTAATTAGTTTCAAATTTTTCACAAATGATTGCAGTCTTTTAATAATCATTTTCAATCATTTAAGTATAGTGTAAGTGATCTTTGAGATAATGGGAAAAAAAATAGAGATAAATTATTGAAATATTTATTATAAAAATAATTTTAAGGTATAAAAATAGTTTTTAAGAATATTTAATGTATTTATAAATCGAAAAATCAAATGTCGGTAGAAATAGAGAAAAAATAATTAAATAATTGATAAGAAATAATTAAAAATTAATTTAATATATCTCTTCTTTGACTCAAAAAATGAAAAAATGTTTTTTCTCTTTTTTAACTCGGAAAACACTTTTTCAAAAATATCCTATCATTTTCTATTGACTAAAAATCATTTTTCGTTGACTTTTTTCCTAAACGTGAAACAAACATACAAAAAAATGAAGGAAAATAGGGAAAAGAAGTTACAAGAACTTGTTTTTAAACATTTTATTTTTTGAACAAGTTCCTAAAATTTCTTTTCCTCTAAACAAATACAACCTACAATCGTTAAATTTTCACAACTCTAATAGTTTTGAAGTAATTTTTATCATTAAAAAAATAAAATATTTAAACAACTTTATTTAAACATTTAAGTTAACCGTTAATGCTTTAATTGTCAAATATAAAATGGAGGAAATTCGGAGTTCAAATAGCTGAAATTAAAAATAAAGATTTTAAATTGTCATAACCTAGTAGTTTGAGAATAATTTTTTCTACTAAACCTATACTGAGATTCTACATTGATCCTGAATTTTGATTTTAATTAAAAAAAAAAAAAACTGAGATGGCAGTTCCTTCCCTGAAAAAATAAAAATAATTTTGAGTGTGGATATTGAGATAAGGAGCTGCAACTCGGTTAAAATTTGTTTTTCTTTTTATTTATTGTTTTTTTCCTAATTTTTTTAAATCATTTTATTTATGTAGTTGTAATTTTAAAATCATATGAAAAAGAGAAATAGTATTGGTTGACGTGCAAGGGATCCAATAATATTCTTATCGTCTAACCAAACAAAGAAAAAAATCATTTTTCTGTTTTTAAAGGAAAAATGATAATATTTATAAAACACGTGTTAGCATTCTAGAGATTTCAATATCAAATTCAACTGTTTGTAAAACTTATTAATACAAAAAAGTAGAGATGATAATAACATAATGTACACTGGTAATATCAATTAACAAGAACAGCAGTGGTATCTTTTGTCACAAACACATACCACAAAATTAACCAGTGGAATTAGATCCTTGAAGAAAGGTGGTGGAATTTTTTATCATCGTAAAATTAACTCATTTTTTCCACGAATTTAATCTTGAAGAAAGGTGGTGGAAGGATGTTCATCAATGCAATCCTAAGGATGTATTTGGTACGCTGGATAGAACAAAACTGAGTTGGACAATAGATAAAATTAAATTGGAACGTACATCTTGTGTTTGGTATATTGGTGTCAAGGATAGATGATTTTTTTACCAAAAAGAAAAAAAATCATTTTGGTTTTTGAACGTTTTCATTATTTTTATTATTATTTTATCATAACTTCTTTTCTATTATCACCGTCACTTTTATTATATTACCATCATTTTTCTTTCATTTTCACCTTTTACAGTGATGATATCAATTTTTTAAAAATATATTATTGTTACACTATTACTATTATCATTTTTTTCTTCACCACTACTATTACTACAATCACTTATATTATTTTTACTATTATTATAATTGATGAAATTATTTTTTTAATTATTATTTTGATTCGTATTAAAAATCATATATTAAAAAATTTAAATTTTATTTTAATTCCTTATTAGTATTCTAAATACAATAAAAGAATGTAAATGTCATTCAAATTTTTTATTTTTCATTTCAATTTTTTTCACTTTCATTCTGCATTTTTTATTTTTGGTAACTAAAAGAATTTTGCTAAGCATTAAAACCTTTTCAACTACCTCCACTAGCACATTTTCGCATGAATATTAACTTTCTTAATAACTACATTAAACGTTTAACTAAGATTGCACCTTTTTTTTATGACAAAACATATTCTTATTGAAATTAGGTAGAGAATCAAACTTTCTTCCTTCAAATATTTAAAAAATAAAAATCCTTTTTTTTCCCACAAATGCACGGACTTCTTAAAGTCTAAAAAAACTCCATGGTTCTTTTATTTTACCTATCTCTCACCCTAAAGCTTTGTTTCTTTATTCATATTGTTTATATATACACATATACATACACTTTCATGATTTTGAAATATGACCACTGCCACTGACTTTATAAAAAGGAAACTAACAAAAGCACTTGATTGAAAGAAGAAAAAATCACAATCTAAAAAAGAAAATATAATAAAACTTTCAAATAGAAAATAAAAAACAAACTTGCTAGTCAACTATCTAATAATCTCAAAAAAAAAAAAAAAAAATTAATATGTAAATTTTTCATATATAAATATTTTTCAACTTTATACTCAAATAAACAAAAACTAATTAAATAGCAATTTTAAGTATCAAAAGTGTGTTTAATTATTTTTAACAGAGAATTACAGATTGATATTATTAAACTTTAAAAAAATAATAGGATTTTTTTGTCATTTACATTTCCATGAAAATCTATATTTATACTTATATTTTACACAATTAAGAACATCTTATACCATTTTAGAAAAACAAATAATCTATCCTTTTTATCTCGATTCTAAAAATACAAATAAAATATCATTGCGAGTTATTGTTCCTCTCTAATGAATCTCTTTCACTATATATATATATATATATATATATATATATATATTCTTTGATAAATTTTAATCATTTTGCTTTACCCAACTCAAAAAAAAAAAAAAAAAAAAAAGAAGAAGAATAATAGGTCGAGCCCTATTTCAAGTCACGTGCTATAGATTAAGTCACGTGCCTCGACAGGAATGTGAAAATCCTCCCTCCAAGAAAACAACGAACCAATCCAAACTCCAAAACACAGATGAGATGAGGTTCCAAAATTTAACCAACGCCACAATCTCGAAAGGAGTCAATTCCAAACATTCCATCTTCTCTTCACCATTGAACCTCATAAAATATCTCCCGATCGGACAACAACAATAACATCAAAACTTCCCGCAAACAGAAAACACAAACACACAAACTTAAAAATCTTTAATGGCAACTGCTTCATTGATTGAATCAACCCCATTAAAATGGAAGCAAGCCTCCCCTTTCCAATCACAACCTCCTCGTTTAATCCCCAATTCCTACCCGTATTTAATCCCTCTAAAACCCCCTACATTTACCGCTAAATACGCCTCTCAATTCACAAACTTGAACTCAAACTCAAAAAACAACAATGACCCATTTTCAATACCACCTTCAATTACAAAACGCGTATCTCAAAGTCCCTCAAAACCACCCACACCAAAAAACCCACTTGAAATTCTTTATCAAACGATACTAAAAGCACTTGATTCCCTCAAAAAACCCGCAATTGCCGCGATTTTGATAGGGGCCTTGTTAATGTATGATCCTAACTCGGCATTTGCTGCCTCTGGAGGTAGAGTTGGCGGGAATTCCTTTTCGGGGCGATCATCCTCTGGGTATTCTTCAAGGAGTTACTCAATGCCTCGGGGTGGAAGTTCAGGGTTTTCGTACTCGGTGCCGTACTATTCACCATCGCCTTTCGGTGGTGGTGGGGTTTATGTGGGGCCCGCGATTGGGTTTGGTGTTGGTGCCGGGTCTAGTTTGTTTTTTATCTTGGCAGGGTTTGCTGCATTTATGTTGGTTTCTGGGTTTCTTTCGGATAGGAATGAAGGTGGAGTGCTTACTGCTACTGACAAAACTACTGTGATTAAGCTTCAGGTACATGGTGGTGATTTGATTCTTTTTTGAATTTTGATTGGTTGTGTGCGTTTTGATGTTTTTGGATTTGGTTTGTGTTGTTGTGTAAGTTTGTGTTAAGTTGTTGCTGAATTGTTGATTATGTTGCTGGAGGAGATGCTTAAATGGCGATGACTGTAGGTTAAAGCACTGTTTAATTGTTGCCTACCTATTTGCTATCGGTGATTTAGGTGCCTTACATAATATTTTGATTTTTCTACGGACTAGTTTTGGTCCTAGGACCTTGTGGTCATAAGAATAGTTTACTTTCTTCTTCTTCTTCCTTTTTTTTCCCCCCGTTATGTGCATTTCTTAATTGATTACATTCCAACGAACTCTAGCTTCTAGGTGGGATAGTTACGGTGCAAATAGGGGGTATATTTGGAGAAGGGATTAGAAGACATGGAATTGCTAAGCATATGACAAGATGTGGAAGATGAATTGCATTCTTTTTGTCAGGAAAGAAAAACGTTAGGGATTACTGTATTACGAGATTGGCTCAAAGGGGAGTTTGAGAGTTTGTGAAAAGTGTAAAGTGTCTGATACTTCTGACTGCTTTGATTTAATTTGAAGAGTTCAATTTATGAGAAAAAAACTTATGCTTAATTGAAATTAACAAATAAGATTCATTTAATAGCAACTGCATAACTTATAGAGAAATAATGGGAAATCATTGTTACTGTTATGAGAAAGCTTATTTCCACCATTACTGAGTTGTAGATTGACAATGGATGCAGTTTTCTAGTCATCTTATCCTGAAAGCATTTTACAAATGATTTTACTTCTCTTTTTCCCAGGTTGGGTTGTTGGGGATGGGGCGTGCACTTCAAAGGGACCTTAATAGGATTGCAGAGGTTGCAGATACATCCACGTCTGAGGGTCTAAGCTATGTATTGACGGGTATAGCTTTTCAGCAATTTCTTTTCCTGTCCCTCCAATTTTAACTTGCCCTCCTTTTTTCCTCTCTTTTATTTTTAATGAAGGAATTTTCTTGCACCTTATTATAGATAAATAATGAATGTGGCTTTTTTTTTTCCGTTAACCTGAGATTATACCATGGCCGGCATAAATTGTAAACTGTATGGAATACATATGGCTTGTTGACGGCTTCAAATATAATTTTAGAAAATAACAATAATCTGAAATATTAGAGAGTTATGAAACGTGAATAGTGCATTGTAGGCCATTAAAATCAAGCAGTGCTATGAATCATAATTTCTTATAGTTTTAAAAGAACACTATACAGCAACCTTTTCTATTTTTATGGTGATTCTGTAGAAATGAAGTCATTCTTTGTTGTTCATGGATTTTCTTCTAAAAAGGCATTATCTGTGCAATGATAGTGAATCACTGTCCAGAGATGGGGGAAGATATATTTCATTTCTAAATGTAGTCGCTATCTGTGGGTGATTTGAGTTTAGTGGAGATTTTTTTTTTGGAAGATTGGCACGTGAAGTTTGGCAATGAGAACAAGTGTTTGTAAAGAGATACAAAGAAAAACTTCTAGGTTTGTCTCAGAATGTTGTATATAAGGGAGTAGAGCTTTTTGAATCTTTGATGGGGTAGAGGCAATTACACATGATATTAAAGTTGACTCTGAAATTCTTTTGTTTCTGAAAGGGGTTGAAGGGCTTTCCTCGTACTTGTTTTGTTTCACCTTTGGACCTTTTTGAGCTCTTGTTGCCTGCTAACTGAAGTTTTTCACCCAGGCTCGCTCTTATGGTTCTTTCTTCATTTTCTATTTCTTTTAATGAATTACATGCTCAAACAAAATGATAAAAAATTGTGGTTTAGTGCCTTTCCTTAATCCTGGAAATCATGGGATTGGTTTTGTGGTCAGAATTATGGCCAAGTCTTAGGCATTATTCTTATGCTTTCAAGGGAAGTGCAGCATACAGTCAATGCTAGAAGTTTCTGCCTTATCATTTTTGTTGGCTATGTTTCATTTCTCCAATCACATGTCCATCTCAGCAACTTGATGTCGAGGAGACTGATTTTATGAACTTTGTGTTTAAAAGCTGCCAATATTCTTTTACATAGGGCAATGGTTCCCTTGCTGTTTCATGTTGATTTTTCTTAAATGCGACTCATTTCACAAATCTGCCAAAGTTTAATTATTAAAAACCATGATTAGTAATTTAGTGAATGTCAAGAAAACTCTGTTGTTACCCATGAGGACACGCTATACTGCCTCATCCTGTTTGTTTTCGTTGCAGAGACCTCACTAGCTTTGCTCAGGCATCCTGATTATTGCATCTCTGCTTATTCATCTGTAAGTTTACAGCTACTTCCTGTAACATTTTTCTAGTCTTTTATATATCTATGCATGTTCTCTAGGATTTATCATATCCTCTATAAGGTCTCTTGTATCAAATTCTATTGTGTAATTTTTTAATCTGCTCCATTTCAGCAGTCTTCTTCCTGCTCTTGCATTTCTACCTTGATTGATATATATCAGGACTGAGAGATACATGCACATGCACTCTTACTTTCTTTTCAGGTGGATTTGAAGCGAAGCATGGAGGATGGTGAAAAACGTTTCAATCAACTTTCTATCGAAGAACGTGGCAAATTCGACGAAGAGACACTTGTCAATGTAAACAACATAAAAAGGCAAAGCACAACAAACAAGAGATCTAATGGATTTAGCAATGAGTATATAGTGGTAAGATCTCTGAAGTTGAATATTTTTGGATCTGATATTTAAATTCCAGATTGAAAGACTTTTTGCACGGTGGTATTGTAAATTTTGATCCCATTCTTCCTCTTCAGGCAGTGCTATTTGCTCTGCCTTCCCACCCCAGAAAACCGAAAACAATTCTTCCACTTCAGACTTGGATTTGAGATAGTCTAAATGTCAGGCTAGGATATATTGCTCTGCCCTCCCTCCCAAAAAAAAAAAAACAAAAACAATTCTTCCACTTCAGGGCTTAGAGTTGAGATATTCTAAATGTCAGGCTAGGGTTATATTGCTACAGATAAAAATATCCTTTAAATGAGAGAGATGCTCAAGTTATCCATGGATGAGGGAAAAATGGTTGCCTCTTAAAAATTAATGCATAGGTGTATGGGTGTTTTCTACGATACCAAATTAGTGTTGTAACTCGGTATCTCTGTTAGAATTTCAGAGATCAGATGGAAAGGGATTTTGATTAGGTTGAACTGAATGAGTCCCTCGGATTCTCATTTGCTCTGGAAATTGTTCATATTCTCAGATAACTATCTTGGTGGCTGCTGAAGGAGTACATAAACTACCCACCATCAATGGTAGTGGAGACTTAAAGGAAGCTCTGCAAAAGCTTGGTTCTATACCAGCCAGTAAAACACTGGTGAGGATAGAAATTTTCCCCTACTCATAACTGGTTTCTGTTTTATTTCTATTAAATTAAGTAAATTTCACACTTATATCTCCTTGGTTGTCATGCAGGCTGTTGAGGTGTTGTGGACACCTCAGAATGAAAATGACACACTGTCAGAGAGGGAACTACTTGAAGATTATCCCCTTTTGAGGCCTCTATAAGAGTTTATAAGAGAAGCTTGTATTTTGCATTGGAGTATGGAATTACTTCGTAAATTAGGTGTAAATTATATAGAACAAGCCCACGGTATATAGTGCACTTGCCTGCTATTCAGTAGATGTTCTTGTACTGAATTTCTTAGCTTATCAAGAGATAGATTGTGTATCTACTACTGAAACAGATCAGAATTCTTTCATCAGTAATTGGCAAGTATCGTTCATTCTAACAGATCCAAAGAATAAAAGTCCACAAGTCTACGGAGGTTTGAAATGCAACTCCGAATGAAGTTTTGCTTGTGATTCTTGATTGGACATGCATGGAACTAGTTGTGCAAACTACTACAAGATCAATAGCTGGAAAATGTACCGGAACCTCTATGGCCAATGGATGGTGCTGCCGGCTGGCAGCAGATGGCAAAAATGCATCTCATGTAGATTGAGTAATTGCCGATTCGGAGCAGTTGCCGTTGTTTTTGCTGCTCCATTTTCTTTTTTTCGTTCTGCATTGCCAGGCAGCTGTGTCAGTGCTTGTTTCTAGTTTAATAGTGTCATGTAACCACTGAATCAAGGTTATCTCCATTCCAGAAGTCCCCATAGTCTGGAGTAACCTTTGGTTTATTTTCTGCTGTAAACTCACTATATTACTCCTTCATTTATGCAATTTAATAATCTGGCCCCATCTCTCTGTATTCAACCTGATCAAGTTCACCATAAATTATGATAAAATTTCCAATGAAAAGTTATGGAGGATACTCAATGATGAAGTTTTCAAGTTTAGTGGAGGATACTCAATATGCTAGAATTAGTTTCCATCTATAGTATTGTTTTGGTGGTCCTACTCTAGGCTGTATATGTAACATTCTGTGGCCAAAGCTGCAGTATCTTCTACTTTTTTCGCAGCTAAAACCCCAATTTCCGTGGTGTATCAGTCTCCTGCAGGAGGGGTTCCACCTATATGATAATGATGTGTTTTTTGTGGTTAAATCGAGATAGCAATATAACAATGAAGTGATAGCTAGGAGTTGATTTGAACTTTCCCAGTGTTGTCATTATCACTAATTCGTGGACTGTGGCCCAACATTCACCACCTTCATGATGGAAACTACATGCAATGAAGTAGTTCCAAGTTGTTTTTGTTTTATTATGTCAGTGTAGGAATATGGGCAGTAAAGGTTTCTAGCAGTAGATCTCATCCCATTTTCCTTCTCTATTTGGGAATTTCATTCACTGGTGTGTTTTTGGTCAGGATTTCTAGAATTGTCAATGAGAAGTGTTATGCGTTTTGACAGACCTATACCACGAATTCAGTTGACCCTGATAAGACCAAGAGAAGCTTAGACCCACTTAAGGCGAGGTAAGTTTTTCTTTTTGAACTAGACAAGCTCCTTTCATGCATATGCCTCGCCAGAAATTCCACTCTTAAAATGTAGAGGGTAATCAAGTTAAGAGATACTATTCTATTCGTAAATTTCAGTGTCCAAACCTGTCGGTCACACATGTCAACTAGGATGCAATATAGAAACTGAGTTCGGAAACTCCTATAATTTCAACAGAAGTGTAATTTGTGGAATCCTTTGAACGTGTTTTTGAGGATATATACTGTGCTGGTAATTGATTATTAAATAGTAAATTTAGCAAGTAGATACTTTTGTGTCTTTGCCACGCCATCCACATTTTCTAAAGTCTTAAGATGCCCACAGAGCTGAAATATCTTCTATCCCCTACTCTATCATCCAATCTCCAACGAAGGGTGCGTGTACCTACTTTCCAGGAAGACCAAGATATATTAAAAAAAAAGGGGGTGAGGATTCAGCTCTCTGACTGAAGATAAAGAATGATTTTAGGTTGGTGTTCTTAGTGGAATTCCTGCTTTTTGAAGCTTTCCTCCATTGTTGAATTTAACATGGGAGATCTACCAAACCATCCTTTTGATAAAGTTGCTCCCTGTTGAAGAATATGCTTATCTAATATCGCTGTATGAATCACTACTTTCTTTTTAATAAAGGAAATCCCTTTTATAGGATTCATATGTTTCCACTTCGCCTATGATGTTGTGGCTGTAATCACAAAATGATGAGGAAACTTCACATCCTCACTCATCATTATCATATTATTAATGTGAGAAAACAAGGGGATGAAATTAAAGCTTTCATCAAATCATTTAATGTTTTTGTTTTCCTGTCCATCGATCATTCAATTGCTTTCTTTCACATACTATGATTCATCAATAGCCATAATATTAGCTTAATAATAATGCATATCCTTTATGACTCAACTAAGCTTACACAAAGACAACCATCCCTTTAATCATCATGAAGCATGCCTTTAGCATAGCATCCTTGTGGTGAATCTTTTGTGTTTACCATCACCTTTATATATATATATATATATATAAAAGAATAAAATTAATCAGCCATTGGTCAATTTTGAATGAATTAAATTTTTATATATTTTTTTTAACAAAAAATATGAACAAAAGATATTAATATGATATAATAATTAATAACCTTTTTAATCTGTATAAAAAAATTTAAAATTTTTTTTTTTTAATAATATGTAAATTTGAAGTCGCTATAACTACAGAAATAGATGTTTCAAGAAATTATCGAAAATTGCCAAATAACTTGCATTAAATCTCTGAGTACTTTTCAGATTCTTTTCAAAACGTTATTCAAATTCAACAACTCTGAAATTTTCTTCATTTTGAGCAAGTATCCTAAAGTTTTGAATATTATTCATTTTGTGTTTTCTAAAAGATGCAAAGCAGCATCATATATAGGTGTTTGAGATAAGTTTAAATCCTCCGAAACTGGTCACAGCACAGGCACAGGAAAAGTTTTATTTTATTAAACAAAGTAAATCACAGGGGTCCAAATTGATACGGCATCTTCTTCACCAAAGCTCAGAAGTTTCTCCATGCAGCGTTGCAATTCAATCCACCCACGGCTTGTATTTCTTAAAAAACTCCCATGAAAACGATGTGTTTTTTGACCCAGCAGCATAGTGCATACCAGTAGTACTCAAAGAGTACGATTTTTGTACAGCTAATAAATTATAAGGTGGGGGTTGGTTTGTTCATAGATTTGATTATTATTTAGTTTTAAAAAGGATCACCCAACATTAAAGTAACTCATTTTCATCCGCATATTTCTTTTGTTAATATATAAAATTTAAATTTTAAAATCGTATTTATTTAAAAAAAATTAAAATTTATTATTATGATTTTTATATGAATTTTTGTTTTAACATTCAAGATTTAAATTTATTTAAATTTCATTGTTTTTATTTCGAAGTAAATTACTTCTATTTTCTTTAGTTGGAAGAAAATATTTTTAAAAAACATATGCTTCCAAGTCGGCATGAACTGAGGTCATACGTGGACCATGAATTATTACGGTTGCTCATGGGGGTGACCCATGTTGTAAGTAAAGGAGATCAGCATGAATCAACTATCCATAATGCTGTAGTGGGCCATCCTAGATTTACTTCTCTTTTGAAAAACCTCTCTATGATTGCCATAAATTGTGGGCTCTACTAGTAGCTGCCAAGTTAGGGCTCTTTGGGAAAACCTCTCAATGGCCAGCTACAACTGACACACCAAGTAAATTCACTACCTCCTTTTGCATCTGCCTCTCTGCTACAAAACATCGATGCCCAATGAAACATGCATTTTTAGATGTTCTGGACTTGGTAAAGTTAAAGATGAATTTCAAGAAGCACATGGACTTGACACCAAAATCAATCATGAAGTAATATTACACAGTTGGATGGTCCTACAAACTTCAGCGATTGTATTGTATCCTCTCCTCACGATAGATAGATAGACAGTAATACCCAGCACCCACCGTTTTAGGTAGTTCGAATGTATATACCGAAGTATGTCATCATGTCATCACTGCACTTCGAACACCCTTCAAACTCCATCACATTGTTTGGTAGCTGGCGCTATCCAGGCCAAATGGATAGTGTAAATGGCATCTCAACAACTCATCACGCTTTATTGATTTTACAAGCCTCGGAATTTTACATCCCAACTCATTATATATATAACTTGCTCGTCTTTGTCTTGTATGTGTGATAAGGACAGTTCAGCGGCAAATAAGCAGAGTGAGGATGGACATAAATATTGCTGGGTCAAAAGAGGGTGGATTTATTAACAGTAGAGACTCTATAACGAGTATAAGAATTTATAAAAGAATGAATGTTCTCAAAATATTATACATCAACAGCATCAACTGGTAGGGACGTTGTCCTATGGAGGGAGTGAGGAAGTAGTGGTCCAGTGCAGAAATGCTTGGCATTGACCATATCCTCTGCTCTTGGGGATTGCTTCATTACCTTGTGACTCTGGGGCCTTTGAGTATCTGAAAGGGCGCAGCTATTATTGGCTTGAATATGCAAGCTATGACTAAACTGCTCAGCAAGAGATTTCAAGAGATCTCCATTGCTGCCTTCTTGAAATGAATTCAACTTTGAAGTTGAAGAAACCCCATCACTTGTTTTCACTTCTCCATTTCTAGAAGTTGAAGGTTTCACTGCAAGTCCTATTTGTTCATCTCTGAGTTTCCTCATTTCCATTTGGTACTTTGCTTTAAGCCATCTTAAGTCCTGCTGGATTTCATTCTCATTACTCTGTGCGAGATCATTGTACAACGAAGTCAGTCTGCTAAAAGAACCGGAACCCGTTAAGTGCCGAAATGATTTCCCTCCCCCAGGAATTCCGTTTTCCATCTTCATTTCTTCTGTATCCTTTTCTGGGATTGACTGATCAAAATTTTCATACTCTTCATCCGAATGACTTCTTCCAGAGCCCACTGGAGTAAGTTGTCGGCTTTCCTGTTGACCCCAAATTTCCTGATAGTGCATGTAGTCCGGTTGGTTCAGTATGTTCGGTTCCCTTTCTGTTACATGATGCTCAGATTCATCCGCTTGAAATGTTATCTCTCCAAACCTCCCATGCATTGAAGTACATCCATTGCTACAGCATGGATTATTTGACAAAAATTCCATGAATGAACCATTAGAGGTACGGATGGAAGCACAATTGTGACAGAAAGTTTGATTTGCAAAGCTGGGTGTTTCCACTATGCCTGGCCCTGGCCTCCATTCAGGTACCAAGGAAGAAATCTCCCCATCAATCATATCAGCAATTTTATTCACATCTTGATCGGTGATATCAAGTTCGGCAACCATTTCAGTTGCCACACTCATCGCAGTATCAGTTTCAATGTCAAACGGGAAATATATGTTTCGGATACGACCTGCAAAGTGATAGCTAGGATGAATATCCACTAGAAAAGAAACTACTTGAAAGCTAGCAATTCAAGGAAATGATAAATAAAAGTAAAGAAAACAATCACTAACCTTCTTTATCTGCAATTCGGAGTCTTAAAAAGATGCTACCGTCATCTCCCCTCTTTCCTTTTATACTTATGCCAACCTTTGCAGGATGTTCATCATGATACTCGAAAAGTTCAATTCCACTAGGTTCGACCTCAACTGGATGATATTTCCATTCATTGTGAGCCTCATAGCCATAACCATTCAAGTATCCATTACTGTAGGAGTTATTATTGTCGTGAAGCTTGAAATAAGGTAGCCTCATTAGAGGTCCTAAGCCATCAACTTCACTCCTATAGTCTAACAGTCTCAAATTGGATTCACAACCATCAATTTGGAGAAAAGGGTCATTCAACAACTCCCTTGCAGATAGCCTAAGTGACACAGTGGCCAAGCACTTCTCAACAAATTGTCTTACTTCTGGATCATTTACTTTGTACAAAGCATCTGGTTTTTTGCCCTGAAGTGATAAAGCATGTAAGTGGAATATATCATGTTTTGGGAGGGAGGGAGGGAGGGAGAAGGGGATCTTACAGAGATAACTTTCTTGTAGATTTGAGCAGGATGAGTGCATTCACTATATGGATATTCAAAAGTGACCATCTCCAAGATACACATACCAAACGAATAAATATCAACCAATTCATTATATGCCTCTTCATACACTTCTGGAGCCATAAACTCAGGTGTCCCTGAAGAAAGGAGAGTCCCATAGAAAAGAAGAATTAACCACTGTGTAAATATTATCAATCTAAGTCACAAAGATCTTAGTACCGCCTGAGAACTAGACACTCGCTTCTGTTATAAGGTCTCTAGCTAATTCTTAACTTTGGTTACAGAGGCCAAGTAAAGAGCATTCGTGAGATTTGTCAATTAAACCTACCAACACAATGAGCAGCATGAGATTTTCGAAGAATTGCCGCAAGGCCAAGATCTCCAATCTTCACTTCTCCTTGGTTCCCATTCACAAAAATATTATCACACTTTAGATCTCTGTGGATGACAGGTGGGTCATGGCTATGGAGATAAAGAAGCCCTCTCAAGATCTGCCTACACCAATGCTTCACAGCACGAATGTTTACTCTCTTGTGCTTTAGTCTATACCTATCAACGACCAAAACAGCAAAGAGAACCCACTTAGAAGATGATAAACAATACAAAAGGCCCACGAAGCATAATCAACAGAAAAGCAAAGGATGGGTCATGAAATCATTAGATTTTGACAAATTCTTACTGTCTCAAAGTCCCAGAAGTGAACATTTCCGTCACAAAGTTGATGTTCCTATTCGCAGTGTCAACCCAAGAAGTGTAAAACTTCATTATGTTCTTATGCTTCAACGTCTTGAGGAGATGAATCTCACAGTAGAGTCTTTCAAGATCTTCAGGACTCTGCAAGAAATCATAGAGCTTGACCTGGTTCCAAGCAACTTCAATCCCTTCATACTCATCAAATGCTCTGTAACTGCCCTAATCAATCAACCAACCGTTACCAAAAACTCATGAAAAGACCCCAAAAGACTCCCAACTTTTGCAAAATATGACCATCAAATTCAAGCAAAAAAAAAAAAAAAACTAAATGGGATTCCATTAAATTAATGAAAGACAAGAACTTGGATTCATACACTGTCTTCGAAGCACCTCTGCCAAGGATTTCATTGTACTGCAAAAACAAAATGAAACCCCAAAATCAGACTCACAATTCAAAGAAGAAAAACACACACAAAGAGAGAGAGAGAGAGAGAGAGATGTACTCTGCCATATCTTCCAGTTGGATCAACTTCAACAAACTCAGACTCAGAGTAATCAGGTGGTTGAAGATGTGATAGACCATTCATTCTCCAAAGCTTTCAAGCACTTATTTCCTTCCTTTGTTATGATTTAGATTTCTCTTATGATATTTTCTTTCTGTCCTCTCAAGAGAGGGAGAAATGAGAGAAAAAGATGTTTTTTTAAAAAAAAAAATTATGTTGTATATTATTTCTCTAACCCTTTAACAGATAGACGAGAAATGGTCAATTATTCAACATGAGAAACAAGTTACAAGAAGAGGATGTGTTAAACAGACAGTTCTACTTTGTTTTTTAACGAATGTTACCACATTTTTAGAGGAGAGGATACATACAGAATCCACCTACCACACCAGGAAAGAACATGCCAAATGGAGAGATAGAAATAGAGATAGAGAGAGATGGGGTGGGTCTCCTCTTCTCCGTTATAAAGGTCTTAGCTTTGAACTCGGTCTGTAGCCTGCAAAATTTGTGAGGGGAAAAAAAAAAACTGATGATGTACGAAAATGGGACCCAGTTGACTGTGATGCTCGAAAGTGGACCAAGTTTCACGGGGAAAGAAAATAAACATGGAGTAATTGAGCTCCTTTTGGACTTCTTGCAAATGCCTAGCATAAACATCTAAAAATATAGTAAAATTAATGCATTAGATAAGTTTGGCCATATATCTTTTTGTTTGCTCTTCTTTTGTTTTTTTTTTTTTTTTTTGTCTGCTGTCTTGCTGAGGTTCTTGTCTGTTTTGTTAGCTCATAGTTTGAATGTGTTTGAGGTGGTTTCATGTTAGAATATGAGAGAAAGGATTAATTTTCATTTAATAAAATCTAAAATTGGCTGGAAAATATTTTTAACGGGGAAAAAAAATACAATAGAGATAAGAAATCGGTTTGCAATCCAAATCAACTCGAGCTAATTCTATTTATTATATATATATTTTTTTTGGGTGCTGAAATGAATTTTCTTTTTCTGGCATTGACATAATAGGTAACATCCTGCATACAAAAGGAATCTTCCAACATTGAATGGCTGATGTGAGTGTTATGATCAGAATTTTAAAAACAGTGGGAGAGAATATCTTTTCGACTAGCATTTTGCATTGGAAAATATTATTTTAAAAAATTACCAAAAAAAAAAAAAAGGGATATTGGATCGAGCACGAATTGAATCCTTTCTATGTTGAAAACCCAGAAAAGAAAAAAGAAGAAAAGAGGAGTAAATTATAAATTAGTTTTTTTATTTTCAAAAAATAAATTAACTAATCTATTAGTTTCAAAAACTAATTATTTAGTTTATTAATCAATATTGATTATATTCAATTTAATATTAATTATTTCAAAAAAATGATTTTTTTGAAATCAATACTTCCATTTTTTCACTTATTTTTTTCTTTTTCTATTTTTTAAAATAAAAATAAAAAAAAACAAAAATGATTAAGTTATAAGAAAATTTTAAAATATAGAAATTAAATAGTTAGTTTTTAAAATAAATGAAATTAATTTATTTATTTTTAAAAACTAGAGGGAGTAATTTATAGTTTAGCTTACTTGAGAAAAGAGAGACGAGTTGAAAATGACGAGAGAGAGAGAGAGAGAGAGAGAGAGAGAGAGAGAGAGAGAGAGAGAGAGGAGGAGGAGGAGGAGAAGTTATAAAAATTCAGTTTCTTAGACAAATCCTTCGTCTGGGTTTGATGTATTTTTGGACATCGTCCCTATTATCAGCACGAGGCCTAATAACTTTATTATTGTTGCCAGGCAAGGAATTGGGCATTACAGGCAGCAAATTGAACTTCTATTGAACCAGATTCTTCTCTTTATTATCCCAAATGTTACGCAGCTTGAATTTTCATTATAAGCTGCTTGATTTTTCAAAGCAATCCATAGCATATTGAATTGAAAATTAACAGTTGCAACCATCAAATTGTTAGCCCAATAATAAATGATTCGTTCTCGTATAAATTTAATATCAATATGAAAAATTCGAATTCTAAAATCGTACTTATCAAAAGAAATCAAATTTGATTATTTTCGCTTCAAATATAATTAATTTTATCCATAAGATAGGATGAGAATATATGGGAACAAAAAAAATTAACGGTTGCGTGTAATTGGTAAGATATTTGAGAATTCCAATTAAAGAATTTTATTTTAGATTTCCATTTATTTCTTTCTTTAAAGATAGAAGTGAATGTGAAAACCCACACCAGCAACACTTTCCTTTGAAAGAGGGAGACACGTTAGGGTATGCATGTAATTACAATATAGATATAAGATGATGATGTTGGTCTGATTCTGCTACATAATTGCTGCACATCTTAGTTTTTGGTCTGTAAATTTAGTAAGTTTTATCTTAAAAAAAAAGAAAAAGAAAATCTGTACCTAACACTTCACTGTAAATAACTTAAAACTCTAAATTCATGTCCAATATAAAAAAGTTGGTGAATCATTCAACAAAAAATTTTAAAAAAATTATATCCAACCAAAAAACTCTCTACAGCAATTAAAGAATAATCTTCGATTATAAATTACTATTATAAATTAGTTCCGAATACTTTTATATTTAGTATTGATTGACGGATAATTAAGGTAAAATGTTAAGAGAGTAAATGAGAAAATATTTATACTTATTGTACCAAAATTAATGAATGATCTATAATTATCGAATCATCTTTGACTGTGTGAAATTTATATCATGTTCTCGTATCAATGTCACATCACGTGAGTTTAAAACAAAATTTAAGTCAAAAAATTCACACATGCTAATGTGTTTATCATAAGTTTAGTTCATATATTTTTATTTAATATTAAAAGAATATGCTAATATGGTTGAAAAGGTATAAATTGATAATTTTTTAGTACAATAAGCTAAATATTTATTACTAATTAATGATTTACTGTGAAACCAACAGATCCTAGTGTTTTAGGCTTGATATAAAAAGCAAAAGGTGATGATGCTATTCGAAACATTTAAATTCAAACTAAAGACTTCTTCTCTCCATAGATTGAAGTAATTGGATCATACGGAATAATAGAAAATAATTCAAGTACTTGTTATTTTAATTTTTTTAACTCATGCATCCCGTAAGATTTGAGAAGAGGAGACCCTCTAAATCATTCTTTGCGTGAGAAGATGGAAATGGTCCATCATATATTTTTGCTCACGTTAGATTTATTTGCTGGCCCGCCCCTATGTATTATTTAGATTCCACTGTCAAAAATTATATTCCTTCCATCTTAAAAATATTAGAATTTCTTTTTTGACTTTTCATACAAATTAAGAAGATTGTATGAGTATATTTCGCTTTTATTTTTTAAAAATATTATTTTTTATAATTGTATTTGGACAATCTTTTATATAATAAAATTTAATTAAGGATATTTCTTTAAAATATACAATTTAAATTTTTTATCAAATAAATATTTTTTAAAAAATATAAATAAAGAAATACACAATCTGTTTTAGAATAAAAAAATATTAAAATTTGGTTTGTGTATTTCCAACTCTTTGTTCAACTTAATAACAAATTTTATCTTCATTCTATTGTGATTTGATAATTTTGAACTCATAGTATTAAATTACGTAATTTGAATCTCAAAATATTAAAAATTTAACAAATATGATTCAAATTGTCCAATCTTCTTTATGTATGACAGTGAACTAGATTGACGAGTTACTTAAAATGCCAAAACGACGTCACTTTGGCATTATACCGTTAATTATGTTTTTTTTTAAATATTGTTAACCGCCTCGATTTTGAACTATTTTTATTATAAAATATTATAAATATTTTATAAATTATATATACAGATGTTTTATAAATATTTTTAAACCTCTAATTTTGAAATTTTTGTAAATTTTCTTTATAAGATGTTACCGTAAAAAAACATAATTAATAATACACAATTTCAAACCTTAAAAAAATATTTTATAAATCAAAACAAACATAATTAAGTGTTGACCCTCCTAATTTTATAGATTATATAAAAAAAATTTTCATAAAATGTTTATAATAATTTATAAAAAAAATTAAAATTAGCGGATAAAAGTATTTATTTTATAAGAAAAAAATTTTAAAAAAATTAAGATTAGGAGGTTAAAAATATTTTAAAGGTATTTTTTTATAAAAAATATAATTAACTGCATAATGTTAAAATGATGTTATTTTAGTATTTCAAGTGACCCATAAAAATCAGTTGATAAAATTGAAGTATCAAAGTTTAATCTCAGATAATAATGCTGGGGGGGTTGGTTGGTTTGTGAACAAGGAGCATGACCAAACTAGTAAACTACGTACCTAATTAATCTACCCTCTACCGTCAAACTTATTTATTTAAAAACTGTGAACTGAATCATATACCCGTCTTTTTCATCAACTTAATTTAGATTCATTAAAACCCACCCTCCATCTACAAACGACAATTGTTTCCTTGCAATTAAATCATCTGTTTGACATTTGAAGTTGCAATTTTCAGAGCATGTCTCTACGTTTTTGCCTTTATCGGTAGACATAAGATTCAATTAAAACCAAAGCACGTAACTGAAACTAAAACTAATGCTATAGTCATTGCGAATGAAAGATCCAAATAAAGACAAACTTTTGATTTTTTTTTTTAATTAAAAGTAAAACTTTGATTCAATTTACAACAAATTTTTAATTTAAGTTAAAAATTATTTTACCAATAGACTTCTAGCCTAGCAGTAGTGAGTTTTTTATATTTACAAAAGATTACAGACTTAAATCTTCTTTTAAGAGTATTTGAGCTTTAAAAAAACTCCATGACAAGAGGAAGCCAGAGTGTTTATCATGATAGCTCTATTACAAGAGGAAATTAGAGTATTCGTCAAGGTAATGCGACCTTCTTTCCTATTAACTATTAATGTTGATTTTGTAATGCCAATATCTGAGCGAGCTGTAAGAACCTTAGCTATGACAATCTGATCCATTTTCTGTCTGCTAACTATTCACCATTAGTGCTTGATAACTAAACGAGCAGGTCTCTATTTATGACAAAAATTTAAAAAAATTATAATTAAATATACTTTTTTTTAATTAAAAGTTAAAAATCAATTTATAAAAACCGCACCAAATATAAACTAAGATGCATCCGGGAATTAGGAAACGAGAGCCTACCATTTAATACGAATGTGTAATTTTGGAATGCTTCAAACTTGCAGAAAGTACAATAAAAGATTTAGCTTAAAAGAGGTGAAGGACATCCACTGATCCACATGGAATGGAGAAAATTAATTATTAGAAGAAAGGGTGATTTAAAAAGTTAGCGGTGATTAATTCTTCATCCAACACAACTGATTTCATGCTCGAGGTTTGATGTACTTTTTGACATTGTCCCTATTATCAGCACGAGGACTAATAATTTTATTATTGTTGCCAGGCAAGGAATTGGGCATTTCAGGCAGCTAATTGAACTTCTATGGAACTAGATTCTTCTGTTTATGATCCCAAATGTTACGCAGGTTGGATTTTCATTATAAGCTGCTTGATTTCTCAAAGCAATCCATAGCATATTGAATTGAAAAATAACAGTTGTAACCATCAAATTATTATTCTAACAATAAAAGATTGGTCCTCATGCGAATTTAATATCGATAGAAAAAATTTAAATTCTAAAATCATATTTATTAAAAAAAATTAAATTTTATCATTTTCGTTCCCAAGCATATTTAATCTTATTTTTAAGATAGGATGAGAATATATAAAGGGAAAAAATTAACGACTGCATGTAATTGGTAAGATACTTGAGAATTCCAATTTAAGAATTTTATTTTAGATTTCCATTTATTTCTTTGTTTAAAGATAGAAATGAACGTGAAAACCCACACAAGCCACACTTTCCTTTAAAAGAGGGAGACACGCTAGGGCGTGCATGTAATTACAAAAAAAAAAAAAAAAAAATAGATGGTTATGATGATGTTGGCCTGATTCTGCTACATAGCTTAGTTTTTGGTCTGTAAATTTGGTAAGTTTTATCTTGAACAAAAAAAAAAAAAAAGAAAAGTTGTACCTAACACTCCACGTTAGATAACTTAAACTCTAAATTCATGTCCAATATCAAAAAGTTGGTGAATCATTCAGCCAAAAAAATTTTTAAAAAAAATTATATCTAACCAAAAAACTCTACCACAATTAATGAATAATCCTCTATCATAAATTAGGTCTGAATACTTTTATATTTAGTATTGATTGATAGATAATTAAGGTGAAATGTTAAAAGAGAATGTGATAAAATATTTATATTTATTGTATCAAAATTAAAGAATCATCCACGATTAACAAATTATCTTCTATTGTGTGATATTTATGTCATGTTGTCATACTAACGGTCACATCACTTTAGTTTAAAACAAAATTTAAATCGAAAAATTCACACATGCTAATATGATTATAAAAAATATAGTTTATTCATTTTATGTCAAATATTAAAATAATGTACTAATATGATTAAAAAGGTATAAATTCATGATTTTTTAGTTTCATAAAAGCCAAATATTCATTACTAATTAATGATTTATGGTGAAACCAACCGATCCTAGTGTTTTAGGTTTGATGTAAAAACAAAAGGCGATGATACTATTCAAAACATTTAAATTCAAACTAAGGACTTCTTCTCTCCATAGATTGAAGTAATTGGATCATACGGAACAATAGAAAATAATTCAGGTATTTATTATTTTAATTTTTTTTTAACTCATGGATCCCATTAGATTGGAGAAGAAACCCTCTAAATCGTTTTTTGCATGAGAAGTTGGAAATGGTCCATCATGTATCTTTACTCTCCTTCGATTTATTTGCCGGTCCGCCCTATGTATTATTTAGATTCTACTCTAAAAAATTATATTCCTTCCATCTTAAAAATATTAGAATTTTTTTCTTTTTGACTTTTCATACAAATTAAGAAGATTGTATGAGTATCTTTTGCTTGTATTTTTTAAAAATACTATTTTTTTTTATAATTCTATTTGGACAATCTTTTATATAATAAAATTTAATTAAGGATATTTCTGAAAAATATAAAATTTAAAGTTTTTATCAAATAAATATTTTTTAAAAAATATAAATAAAAAAAGTACACAATCTTTTTTGGAACGAAAAAATAGTAATTTTTGGTTTGTGTATTTCCAACTATTTTTTCAGCTTAATGGCAAATTTTACCTCCATTCTATTGTGATTTGGCAATTTTTGACCCGTAGTACTAAATTAGGTAATTTGAATCATAAAATATAGGAGATTTGATAAATATAATCCAAATTGTCAAATCCTTGTTATGTGTAACGATCAATTGAGTCGACGGTTACTTAGAATATCAAAACGATGTCATTTTTACATTCTGCTCGTTAATTTTTTTAAAAAAATATTTTGAACCCTCATAATCTTGAAATTTTTTAAATTTTTCTTATAAAATATTATAAGCATTTTATAAATATTTAAACCTCTAATTTTGAACTTTTTTTTTTTTTAAATATTGTTGTAAAAAAAAACATAATTAACAATACATAATTTCAAGCCTTAAAAAATATTTTATAAATAAAAATGAGCATAATTAAGGGTTGACCCTCCTAACTTTATAAATTATCAAAAAACATTTTTTTAATAAAATCTTTATAATATTTTATAAAAAAAATTCAAAATTAACAGGTTAAAAAAATTTATAAAATATTTATTTTATAAGAATTTTTTTTAAAAAAAAATTTCGATTAGGAAGTTAAGAATGTTTTTAAGATTTTTTTTAAAAAATATAATTAACTATAGAATGCCAAAATACGCTACTTTTTTTAGTATTTTAAATAACAATCAAACCTAGTCGATAAGATTGAAGTAAGTATCAAGGTTTTTTTTTTAAACTGTGAACTGAATCATAGGTCCGTCTTTTTCATTAACTTAATTTAGATTCATTAAAACCCACCCTCCATCTACAAACAACAATTGTTCCCTTGCAATTAAATCATCTGTTTGACATTTAAAGTTGCAATTTTCAGAGCATGTCTCTGCGTTTTACCTTTATTACTGGACAGAAGATTCAATTAAAAGCAAACCACTTTGATTCAATTTACAACAAATTTTTAATTTAAATTAAAAATTATTTTACCAATAGACTTCTAGTTTAATGGTGATGAGTTTTTTATGTTTACAAAAGATTACGAGCTCAAATATTCTTTTAATAGTATTTAAGCTTAAAAAAAACTCCAAGAGGAAGCCAGAGTATTTGTCATGGTAGCTCTACTACAAGAGAAAGTTAAAGTATTTGTCATGGTAATACGACCTCCTTTCCTACTAACTATTAACATTGATTTTGTAACTCTAAAAATCGAGTGAGTCGTAAGAACTTTAGCTATGACAATCCGACACATCTCCTATCCACTAACCACTAATTATTAATGCTTGACAACTAAGCAAGTGAGTCTCTATCTATGAAAAAAAAAATTAAAAAAAAATTCAAATTAAATATACTTTTGTTTTTTTGAATTAAAAGTTAAAAAAACAACTTAAAAATCAATTTATAAAAATCACATCAAATATAAACTAATATGCATCCGGAAATTAGGAAAAGAGAGAGCCTACCATTTAATACGAATATGTAATTTTGGAATGCTTCAAACTCGCAGAAAGTACAATAAAAAGATTTAGCTCAAAAGCGGTGAACGATATTCACATGGAATAGAGAAAATTAATTATTAGAAGAAAGAGTGATTTAAAAAGTTAGCGGTGATTAATTCTTTATCCAGCACAGCTGATTTCATGTCCCAAGACTCGAGAGAATCCAGCACTGTTAACTTGTAGTTTGCCGGCCACGGGTCAGCCATGGGAGTTAGGGTACACAGTAAATCAATATGGATTTCATGTTCACATGCACATCCATGCAATTTGGAGCCTCGTCTAGTCTGGTCTTATTCGGACCTGTGAGGAGTACACTTGTTAGACATGTATGGTGCAGAGGAATTGCATGGTGGGGTTCTCAAATCTGATGTTACGATAATGACATGAAACCAGCTGCTAATTGAGCTTGCCTTTGATATTTGGCCTTTAAGAATCATCCTTTGATTTGATTTTTGTCAAAAGTCGATAATGCTGATGACCGGCCCTAGCTAGCTAGGGTTGATTTTATTTCAGAAGGGATCGAAGTTCCAACTTTAATTATAGCTATATATGTTTGTCACCTTTCAGAATGACTAGTCTACAATTATAGTTATTTATTTGTGAATATCGACTAAATTTATATTTCACCGCTTTTTTTTATATATAATTACCGATATATCTTTTACTGATTATCAATAATTATTATATAATACAAATTAATGGAGGGCTATCTCTCTCTGTGTAGCAACAAATTTATGCAATCTATAGAAGTATTTCACAAATAAAAAGTCTAGAATGAAAAAAGAATAAACATAAAATATAAGACAATCTACAATACAATTGGTTTTTCTATAAATATAAAAAATCGTCAATTTCAAACCATGTTTGCTTATACTTTGCAAATCAAATCATTTTCAAATTAATAAAAATACTTTAAAATTCGATACACATAACAGAATTGATAAAATCAAATTAAAGCACTAAGTGGAATTAATTCAATTATTGTAATTTTAATTTTTAGAAAGTAATAATTGATGTACATTCAGAATGTTTTAAATAACGAAATAATTTCTTTGAAATTATAAGAAAAACTAAAAGATCTAAGAGATTCACTGTTCATAATTACTAGTCATATAGGCCCATCTTTCCTATTCACTCCTCTAGACCTTTCGATCATTTATTATCATCTGTGGTTTATTGATCTATAATGCATTTTTTATATATACGGATTTTGAAAAAAAAATTAGATCATGATTATTTTATCCTTTTTTAAGTATATCATTATCATGGATTTTATGGTTTTTAAATAAGAATAAAATGGTTGGATATATATATATATATGTATCATTTGTTTTATTGAAAATTAGCTATGTATCTTCACATATAACACTAATTATTTGTTATTTTTCATATTCTAAACTCATTTTTTCTCATATAAATAAGTTAAATAATATTTTAGAAGAACTGTCGAATTATTTAAATACAGCCTTTTATACTAATATTATTGATTATTATATATATATAAATCAAATCTACATATATTCAAAAAAATAATCTTCTCATAAACATTAAATAAGGATAAAAAATATTTGTTAATTTTTATATAACTTTTTATATCAATTGTTGCTTTTTTTTTTCGACGCAATCTTATGTAAAAATTATTAAAGCATTTTTTTTAACTTTTACATTTAATTTTTTATTTATATTATTGTAAGTTTTTATTTAAGAATAAATGTATAAAGAAAAAAATTAATTTTTTTAATACAAAATTTAAGAAAAATATATAAAATTATAAAATTTTATTTGTTCAATCTGCCTTGCAGCATAGCACGCGAGCAACCACCTCGTGAAACACTAAAGTTGCTGTGGCATAAATCAACTCATGCGTCCAATGCTTGATGATATCATTAGCTGACCCGAAATAAACATACCATCTATATGATTTTCCTTTGAAAAAACGGCAGAAGATGCCAAAATTTTCTGGTCTAAGATCACTATAATGCTTGTTTATTTGTTTGTTTTATTTCTTTTTCTAAGATGATCACTTATATATAATCAACACTCCAAAGCCAACTCTCCCAACAATTTTCCAAACCTTTTCAATCCAGCAATCTTCTGATTCATAGCTAAGACAAATTTTAATTATGTGGACACGTTTTCACGTAATTTATGCAAACTTCCTTTAATTAAAATAAGCTGGTCATGTTAGAAATGGAGATGATGGGCAATCAGTATTTCGATATTTATTCTTCGTTTGACTAGATGTCGTTTGATTCCGTGAGTACCGTACGCATTAAAAGGTCAAAAATATACAAAAGCTTGACTCCAAAAGTGAAGCAATGATGACCAAAGGAAGGGCACTTGGGGTGCTTGGTCAAATCTTTGTATCGGGGTTAAAAACTCTCGGGGATTAAGACACATACTATATTTTAACAAGGTTACTTTGATTTTCTCTGTAATTATTATTAGTATAGTTTTGTTTACGAAAGCCAATGACCAAGAAAGAGTTATCAAATCAATAAGAGAAAGATTTAAAATAATAAATATAAAAAACTTTGGATTAAAAAAGTTGGGATTGGAGGAGGAGATTAAAAAAATGCAGTAAGACTTCAGAGGCCGTGATTATAGAGATTTACTGATCATTTAAGTATATTTTAAGCCAAAAAGATCAATCGTACATGACATGTGCTTTCATCAACATGACCCAATTATTTATTTCACATTTTGTCCCTTTTAGGCGATTTATTATTATTATAATTCTTGTGCATGGAGACGACGTCGGAACTATAGCATTTGTGAAGCCAATTGAATGTCTCCCTCTTTTTTTAAGAACATTGAAAATTAGTTTTAATAAGAAATTTTATAATACATAAGGAGTAACTAGTGGTATGTACAGTATTTACTTTTTGAGTCCACTTTGAGGAGAGAGATAGACTCACAAAAAGAGAGAAAAAATAGGAGAGAGAAAATAAAAAAATTTGAGTAGACGTGGAAATCTTCTTATCACTTTTGGTGAATATAGATGTAATTTCTTTCTTTTTTATGTGTCTATCTCTCTCTTCAAAATGAGCACAAAGAGTAACTACTATACATGCCACTAATTACTCCTTGTGTATTATAAAATTTTTCAGTTTTTATTGACAATGTAAGTGCTTTTTTTTAAAACAATATTCAAGACTCATATATAAAAACTAATCCATTCTCATTCAATTAGATGTACAAAACTGATATAATTATTCAAAAAAATTTATATATATATAAAAAATTAAAATTAAAATTATTTGTTTTAACGTCGAGTAATTTTTTTTTTTGGAGCCAGTTTTCTTGGGCAGGTGAAATTCATTTTAACAACTATATAGACTAAATACCTCTGAGGTCCTGTAAATTCGTAGATGTAATAGAATAGATGAGAATTATTATGTTTACCTTTATTTTGAGCTTCTAGAATTAACTGATTTTTACCGGTTAGAATTTTCACAGCAGAGTAACGTGTTCTTTGATTAATACTGAAGAAGTTGACATTACGTTAAATCTCTTGCATTCGATTTGACACGATTCCCTTCGTATTTGTATGGTTAACGAGTGCCATAACATGTCTTTTCGTCTATCTTCACTTTCAACTTTTTGTCCCTTTTCCTCTCAAAAACCAGCCTTTTCAATTCTCTCTCCGAGGAAAAAAAGAAAATGGGTCAGTTTTTTTCCAAACCCATTTGTCCCGTGTTTTGGTTTCATAAAAACAGCGGGTCCTAATTAAACATTTACTGATTAATGATCTTGCCAGTCACTTAACCATTCGTGTGTTACGAGATTAATTATTATTGTTATTATTAAGAGAAGAATTATATCCTATTAAAGTATTACCTCCTTCTTAAAAAAAATGTTTTTTTATACTTTTCACACAAATTAAAAATGTTATTAATTTTTTTCCATAATAATATTTATTTATTTAATTTTTTTTCAATTTTTTTTTGTTAAAATTGTATTTGGATAATCTTTTATAAAATAAATTTTAATTAGAATATTTTTAAAAATTTACGCCATTTAAAATTTCAAAAAGATAAATATTTTAAAATACATCTAAATAAAAAAGACAGATGATTTCTTTGAAACAAAGGAGAACAATTCATTTAATTATGCAAATATAGTGGAGTGGTTTGCTATGATTCTTTTTTTTGGGTTGACCGTTGGATCATAAAAGAGAAAAAAAAAAAAAAGGAAACTTGAAAATTTTCCAAAAAGAAAATCTATATGGAGTATGGTTGTAATGTGTGAATTAACCATAACAATTTTTTTTTTTTTGAATAACTGAATTAACTATGTTCCAATTTTCAAAGTAGTAAGAAAAACTTGCATTTAAAGGAGTTTGGATAAGGGCATGTGTGCTGTTTGGATGTTAGGGTGCACCCATGGCTCCTCCACGTGCAGCAATCAAGTGGAATCCTATGCATTTTCACACTTAACTCTTAGGTTTTTTCTCCATCTCTATTGAGTTGGATTATATTTATTTAGCATGGTTTAATGAGATAAACAAGAATGATGTCCAACTCCCATGCATGTATAATGCTTGTGTTTCTTTTTTGTCCATTAAATACAAATTTCGAGCTAAGTTGCTAAAAATTAATATTTTCATGAATACTTTGATATATGATCAATAATCATCATCATCATCAGATCCGCATAGCAGTAAAAATAAGGCAAAATTAGCAGAGAACTTTTGACGTCCGATTTGCTTGTCCTTTTGCATCATTTTGATCCATAGCGGTTCAATACAGCCAAGCCCACAAAGCCAAAATTTTTGTCCAAGTCTAAATAAGCGGACAAATCGTGGTCCAAAAATGGGCTGCATCGACCTAAAACCAGGTCCTCATGTGCATCGGGTTCTTCATCCTTTCCTCTGCTGATGTTGAACTAGCTAACAGACATTTTTGCTAAGCTTTAGAACCCACAAACTACAATTCCCTACAACTCAACGAAACAGCATTGGAACCTCTGGAAAATGTTTTTAAAAGGACACCTTGATATGAAGAAACCAAAAATTATCAGAAGAAGAATGAAAAGAAAAGAAAGGTAGATGAACTGCACGTATGATCATATATATATATATAAACATGAAGGTTCAATGGATTTTGAAATCTACAAGGAATTAGAAGCCCTTCTTCAATCCCAAGTCCTCAAATGCCAAATTTTAATCACTGTGCATCTCGTTAGGACCATTATCATACATTACTAAGTTTATTTATTTATTTTTTTCGTAATCGGTTTGATAAATTTGAATTGCACATTGAAAATAATTGATACTTCTCCACACTTTTTTTGGAGTTCCTTTTTCATCACTTAGGTTAATCCGGGAAACCCATCGTTCGCTTCCCATGTTTGTCACGAAAAATCGATTTGCACCCAGTGTTAATTCCCAATTAAATCAATTGGAACAAATTAATATGTATTTTTAGCCAAATTAATAACTGCTATTATTTCTTTCATTTTAAAAAGATTGTTTTTTTGAATTTCCATACAGATTAAATAAATTATTAATTGTTATAGTATATCAATATTTTTTTGTTCATATTTTATTAAAATACTTTTTTGAGAATTGTATTCGAATAATTTTTTACAAAACAAATTTTAATTAGGGACATTTTTGGAATGTACACTATTATTTTGATTATGAATAATTAAGCTTTTTTTTTTTGTTCCAAAATGCCAAATTAGGGAGGTCCAAACTCCAAAGTAGGTAGAATTTTGTAACCAAGAAAAGAAGATGCAGCATAAATGGCAAGTTGGTATGCTAACCGATAGACTATATGTACTTCAAACCATGCCTCTAAAAAAAAGCCTCACCAACCATTAGGAACTAACCCCTTAATTATAGGGCAGATTTTATATATAAATATACTCTTCTTGATAAAAAGAGGAACAAAAACCAATTAACTCTTACAAAAAAGAAGAAAAAAATTCAAGAAAATGAGTTTAGCTGTGGTGAACGAGACAACAATGACAACATTCGTAGAAGACAGGAAGGCATTCGAAAAGTGTGTTAAGGAATGTTTCGAAATGCTTGATGTTGATGGGGATGGAGTGCTTTCACGAAATGAGCTTCGTGAAGGATTTTGTAAACTTATGTCATTAGGGCATGAAACCCGACAAAAAGAAGAGATTGACCATCTTTACAATACCATTTTCAATAGGTTTGATGAGGACCAAAATGGAAGCATTGATCCAAAAGAGTTTATGTGCTTAATGAGGGAGATCATGTTTGCAATGGGACGAGGGTTTGGTAATTCTCCAGTTCTGGTGGCTCTTGAAATAGATAGTTTGCTTATGAAGGCTGTCGAGCATGAATTTGGCCCCATATAAGATCAAAATTAAGAAGAAAGTCTTTTCAAGTCTGGCTCATCACCCTCAAATATTGTAGGTAATGTTAGCAACATCAAACGCTATATCGTTTGCTTGGATATATATAGGTAAGACGAAGATGTGTGTTATCGTTCTGAAACTCATTCCAGCTTCAGACAAAAGATTTCTCCTTTCATATCTTTATGTTTTCGTTCAGTTGATAAAAAAAAAAAAAAAATCAATTTATAATTAATACCATTCTAGTTATCTCCAAAATTTAATTAATTATGTGGATATTTGTTTATGTTTGAAAATAATATATTCCATATTCATAGTTTAAATCTAGGGTTTGTTCAAATGATATTTAATTTACTGCTTTCCATGTTATCAAAACTAATAAAAAAGTCAGAACTTAATTTCAAACGATTTAAAATTTAAAAATGAGTAGACCATTTTAGCCTCTTTATATATATATATATAAGCAAGATATAGCTCTTTCCCTCTTTACATTGGCTGTGGAACTGAATTTCTTTTATGCAATAACTTTTACTAATTATTGACAACTAAACAATCGATGAGTATTGTGACCACCAAAAAATAAAAAATCAATGATTATTAATCTGATATTAAAAAAATATAAATAAAAGTAATATATCGCCATAAAAGTAAGAAAATCAAAGGCATGCGGTGGGGACAAAGTAGGTTCTGTTTATAATCTTCTTGTGTCTTATCTTGTGCTTTTGTTTGTTCGGTCTTTTTATAAAATTATAAACGTAAGAAACATAAAATTAAAGTATGGCTAGCCTGCGAAGCCATCAAGCAAAAGGAATCGAATAAAAACCATTTAAATCCAAAGGTACGATGGACATAGCTAGCTAACAAATAAAATTATGTGAAACTTATGATTTGTCCACAGTGTAGCCAAGCTTGATTGGTATCTTTTTGGAAGGCAGGAAATAAACAAATTGGAAACAAAAACAGAAGAGACATATATGCTGTGTACACGGACCAAATTAGCTTTTCATCTATATGATATTAATTTGTTTTTTTATTTTTTGATATGATCATTCATTTACGTATTAAATTGATCATGACCGAGTGGCGTTGTCTACTTGTTTATTTCTGCAAATAATAATGGGTTTTGCCAGAAGCATCCAGTTTTGCATTTCCAACACTCAAAACTAGAGACTTCTAATACCCACTTGACGACATTGAAGTGTGATTAGTGAAGCAAATACTACAAAAGTGGTTGAGGACTGTCATTTGCCCTAGGCCCCATCTCTCAGCTCCCTCTTTGAGATGGCAAAAGAAGGAAGAAATTAATATAAAAAGGAGCACGAAACCCTTTTGTACGGAGTACTGAAGAAAAAAACATTAATAAATCAAAGTCACTGCTTGTAATTGTGATTGAGAATGATGAGCGGCCAGTGCAACCCAGCTCAGAGAGAGAGAGAGAGAGAGATTTAAAAGCCCTTTCAAAGGCGCAAATCAAGGAAAGGGAACATGAACTGGAAGCCTTAGATGCTGCAGTTGCCTGTGATGATGGATGATAGAAGCCTTTGTGCTTCCATCATTCAAGATTCAAAGCAACAACTTTTGCCACGCTCTCCTCTAAAAGTTCAATTTATATTCAATTTCTCAGTATTGAACTAACTTTTAAACTTGGAAGTATGTGAGAATTAATTAAGAAAAAAAATATTTACTATTTGCTAAATTGCTGCATAGAATGATATTCTTATTTTAATAAGTCGTGATTCATTAACATTAGAAACACCTTAATTAAAAAAGTGATGACAAAATAAATAGTGAGTAAATCATTACTAAAACACTAGAGTAATGTTATATAAACAATTTTTTTTTTTTACAAAATTCAGATATATGATTTTTATTTTTTTCATAAAAAACTAATCATTTAAATTTATGAGATCCATATTTCATCACTTATACACTGAGACATCACTTCATATAGAAATTTAGTATGAAAATTTTGTTTGCGTATTATTTTCAAAACTACAATTTAAGTGTTTAATTTTTTATTTTTTGTTTGAGTATTCAATCAGTAAATCTCTTTATATGAGTGTTTTTAAATTTGAGTGCCTAACATTTATTTATTTTTCTGTTTAAGTGGCTAACACTTTTTTTTTTTTTTTTGAATTCCTTGAATCATTTGAGACTAGAAAATACTGGCATAGCCAGGATTCATTGACATGCAATAATTTTTTACTGGCACAAAGAAAAAAGTAGGTTCCACTCGAATTTATTGAAAAATTTTTTTATAAAACTTTTATAAAAGAAAATAGTTGGCAACAATGAAAAATAAAAACAAATCAAAATAAATTGTTGTTCGTCGAATAAACTCAAATTATTTAGATGATTTAATGTTAAAACTCTTGAATTAGAAAAAAAATATTTAAATAATGACATCTTACTATCTTAGGAGTGTTTTAAGAAATTAATCGACAAACTTACCTAGTCTATTCGGCTAACGATAATTGATATATTACTTTTTTATTATCGCTAGCTTTTTTATATAAAAATTTATAATTTATAATTTTATTTTTCTCTATAAATTCAAGTGAGATCTGCTTTTTACCATGTGTCATTTAAATTGTATTAGTAGATTTTGATTATGTTAGTATTTTTCAGTATTAAGTGATTAAAAGAATTTAAATAAAAAAATTCAAATGTTAGGCACTAGAATAGAAAAATAATCAAACGTTAGACACTTAAATTATAGTTTTTTTTTCTTTTCAAAATGAGACTTATTTTTTGCATATATCGGTTAAAATCGTCACACAATAGTTAATTTCGGACGCATCAATATTTTCAATTATACGTAATTGTAGATACTCATATAGATAAAAAAAATTAAATTTACACTCAAATAAAAAGATTTACAAGTTTTACATTCAAAAAATAAAAAAGAAGAAGAAGATAAAATTAAGCATTCAAATTGCAGGTTTCTTTTTTCAAAACTCGAAGATACATAATTATGTTCGCAACAATATCCAAAATAACATGCAACATCATATCCTAAAAGTAATACCAAATCTTTTTACATTAATCAATTGTTTTAATTCATATTCACCAATTTTTATATTTTTTCCAAAAAGTACAACTCTGAAAAAAAATCCATTAACCAGTAGGTAATAATTTCTTCACAGTGAGGCGGTTCTTAATTAGAAACGGACCTATGAATTCTGATAAAACAGTAAAACACCCATTTCTTGATAAGGACAGCAAGGCCATGTAGTTTATATATATATATAAAAAGTTAAACCTATTATTTGTCTTCTATATTTTCACTAATTTATATTAAAAAAATCTCCCCTGTTATTTATTTAGATCAATTAAAATTTTGTATTTTTTATTTGAGTCAATTGATTACAATTTTTTAAAATTAAAAAATATCTTAGTCAATTGATTATAATTTTTCAAAATTAAAAATTTATCATAGTCAATTTATTATAATTTTTCAAAATAAAAAATTTATCTTAGTCAATTCATTACTTTTCTTCCCTGATTCATTATTATCAACTTTCTTTCATTTTCATTAACATCATCGCTGATTCCATCTTTTCTATTAAAATTACAAGTGCTCAATTGACGAATCGATACAAATAATAAATTTAACAAAAAAAAAAAATTATGTCACGCAATATCTAGTTTCGTGCAACACATGATGCCAAAATTAAGTTTTTTGCTTGTGATTTTTTTTATTCTCAATTGGATTAAACCGATCTCCACTATTAATAGAAACATATCACAGTACTTAATAAATAAATAAAAAAGATAATTGGTAAAATGACCATCTGAATTGTTAATAAATAAACTCAATCCTTGACTGTTTTTTTTTTTTTACCATCATGCCAAAGGAATTAACTTAAAATTAAATATATATTTTTTGTTTTTCTCTTTAGGTGGAAAGCCATTGAAGCCTAATAGAGTCGGTCAATTGCTTTGATCCGATAGCCTGTGGTATCAAAATTTTTTTTTAAAAAAAACGAAAAATAAAAGGTTAAGATGGATTTTACCAAAAGTATAGGGGGTTGTTTTACAAATTAGTAAAAAATATAAAGTAATATAAAAGATGTTGAATGAATCACCTAACATTAGGTTTAAGTTTGGGTTTTTTTTAAAAAAAAAACTCAATTTTTATTATCTCAATATGATATATTAGTGAATAATATTAAATAATTAGGCATTTCACATAATAATTTAACTTTTTGAATCAATATGGTTTTTTGGCACGATATTAAAATTTGAATAAACCTAAAGACCTAATAAAGAACATAAAAATATTTTGTTTAGAGGTTGTTTATTTAGTTAGTTTTTCTAATAAAATAAGGTTCAAATACTAATGACTTCAAGTTTTTTTTTTTATGATTAAATAATAGAAGAAAACTACCCTTATTTTATAGTTTAAAGACTCATGAACTTCTTCTAAATTAAAAAATAAAAAACTAACAAAGATCCAACAACTCAAACAATTTGCAACTAAATAGATCTAATGGTTCATAAAAAATCTTAGGAGTCAAACCATAATAACAAAAAATGAATTGCAAGCGACTGAAATGCTAAAGAAAAATATATTCTATGTTAAATGAATACAAAAAATATAAATTAATATAAAAAGTTGTTGAATGTCAAATATTTTTAATAAAATCTAATTTCAAATTTAAAGTGAAGTCACGTAAAGCAAAACTCACTTCCAAATTGATGTAATCATTCAAGAGTAACTTCCCACAAAATATGAATTAATTTAACGTATCCCTCCTACGGGACCGGAGACAAGTTTTCTTTAAGAAAAATTTTAACGACTGACTCTATCCGAATGCCCTTTGAAGAAAAAGGAAAAAAACACAGCAAAAAACCAAAAACCACACAATCTCTTAAAACCAACGTAAACTACCTCTTCAAAACCCCTCGTGCACGCCCCAATTCTCTCTCAAACTTCCCTGAGTTCGACGACTGAAATACTGAATGTTTTTGTTAAAGATCAAACACTAGTTCAACAACATGATCCCAGCATGTTTCAGCAATCCCAGCACACCCTCAAGTACCTCTCAAGTACCTCAGAATCTCATCACTTGTATCTACCAAACTCAACTCTGCAACTCACCCACCTATCTCACCCTCACTTGGTCGAAAACTCCCTTCTCTCACTCCCTAACCATCTACGCAGCTGATTCTTTCTCCATCACTATCTCTTTATACCCATCAACCTTTTCCTTCTTTAGAAACAAACCAGGCTCCAAATCCATCTACTTGACCCACCACCATTACCAAAGAATCAAGCTTTACTGGGACTTCACTCGAGCTGAGTTCACTCACAACTCGGCCGAGCCCGAAACTTGCTTCTACGTTGCCATTTCCTGCAATGCAAGATTTGAATTCTTTCTTGGTGATCTTTGCTCCGAGTTGACTCGGAGGTCCGGGCTGGTCTTGGCTCGCCAACTCGGTCAGGAGCCGGCTCTGTTGTCTCGGAGGGAGCATGTGTTTGGACGCAAGAGTTATGTGTCCAGGGCTAATTTCTTGGGGTCCATCCATGAAATTGGAATAGAGTGTAGCGGGGGCATGCTTGTAGTAAAGGTTGATGGCGAAATGAGTCTTGTTATTAAAAGGCTGGCATGGAAATTTAGAGGAAATGAAAGAATCTATGTTGGCGGGCTTGAAGTTGATTTCTTTTGGGATGTGTTCAATTGGGTCAACAACGACAACAACAACAGCAGCAATTACAGTAGTCTTGGCGGTGCTAATGGTCATGGTGTGTTTATTTTTCAAGTTGGTGATGGTGGTGTATGGCCTGAAATGGTTGGTCCAGAGAAGAGATTGATGAGGAAGAGTATGTCCATGGTGGGGCCCGCGTCGGCTCCGCCGGCAATGTCGTTGTCATCTCCTTCTCCGTCGTGCTCTAGCGTGTTGCAATGGGCGGAGGAGAGTAGTGATTGTGGAAGAAGTTCGTGTTCTTCATCTACTACTAGGTCATGTGGGAGCAATATTGGGGGGTTCTCTTTGTTGTTGTATGCTTGGAGGAAGGACTGAAACTTGAAAATTGTGGATTTTTTTTAATGTGCTTTCTGCATTATTCATCATTTTTTTATAAAATGTTTGAATTTAAAAGTTTTTCAAATACAAGTTGTGTTAGTTAATTTGATTATATACTTTTGTAAATGATAAACTAGTTCAATTATGATTATTTTTACGGGAAAAGGACCTGTTTGTCCCCCAGTTGTCATGTAATTCTTAGCTGGGCACCAAATATAAAAAAGCATGCCAATTAGATTCCCATCTATCAAACATTATTCAATTTATCCATCCCTAAAATTTATGACTAAAAATGATGTGGTTTTAAGACATAAAACTTCATTAATTCTTACGATTATATAGGCAAAAATTTTTAAGATGAGAGTTAATTGGATAATATTCAATAGATAAGTGATCCAATTAGGATTTGAATTGATTATAGAATTATAGTTGAAAAATAAATATGTTATTTGCTTTTTTTTTCTTAATTTCTTCATACTATATTTTTCATTAAGTTATGTATTGATATATTTTTCTAAATAGAAAGGACAAAAAAGAAATAGCCTTAATCTCAAACAAACCAACAGTCAGCGTATGTGCATTATACATAAGAATTTACATAAGATATTTGTAACACCAATGTTCCTGGTTCAGTGTTATTTTCCTTCCCTACCACTACACCATGGTTCAAGCAACAACATTAACAAACAAACATGTCTATAACAACTCAGGTATTCTAAAATACTTTAGTTTTTCTTTTACCTATGGAAACCTATTTTGATGGTTTGATGGGAACCAAAAGCTTTGATGGATATAGCAGGCATCGCATGGGCAAAACACCCCAATTATTTTCCCTTTCAATCTTTCGAGGGTTCACTAAATTTGTATGAGCATAGTCGTGTGTACATCAAGACCAAGGCAATTGATGATTAGATTAATTGCCTGTTTGGATAAGGTGGAAAGTGAAGGAGAGGAAAGAAAAGTTTCTTTGTTTGTTTTGGGGAGGAAACCTATGGAAAGAAAAAATAATAATAAACAAACTTATAACCGATGGGACCTATTTTCCTTTCAAAATTGGGAGTAAACTCGGGAGAAAAAACGTGTAAATCATCAAAATATTTTTTATTCACATTTTTGCCCTCATCTCGCCTCACTCGTCCCCCTCCTTTTCTACTCTCTCCAATAACAAAACAGATATGCAAATCAAAGCTCTTTTATAATAGGATCTTACGAGTAGTTTGATCCCACTCTTTCGAGTGCCATCGAAGGTTGTTCCTCTCGGTGATTGACTTCCTCTCGACTCGTTGAGTTAAGGGAAGAGTGAGAAGCCTCTCTCTTTTTTCTCTAGTAGCGAGTAAAGAAGTAGTCTTTCTTAGTTTGAAATTTGGGATCGAGAATCTTGAGTATTTCGTTGATTTCGTTTGCTCTAGAATGTGTGATGTGACTTTTGATTTGAAATTCAAAGTCAAAATTAGACTAAAAATGAAAAAATACACCATTTTCTTCCTTTCTTGCCCGCTAGAACTTTCTCGTGTTTTACCTTCTCTCTATTAACAAAGCATAGTGGCGAAGGGCGACCGCATACTACTTAACTTTTATTGGGTATTAGAGACACTCAAGTGCAAAATTTTGTTTTTTTAAGCTTTATTTAATCGAGTAAATTATAAATTAATGCTTTTGTAGATTCAATTGTGGTTTACAATGGTAGCTTCCATACCTGTTTATTTAGAGTATTACTATGGTTTCTTCATTTTGTAGAGGTTAGTATAGCTTTTGGGCTCTAATAGAAAAAGATAATGTGGTTATATTATTGCTAAGAAATAATCACTCCGTAGTTGGCATAATGTCACGGAAAAATAATTTAGAAAATTGAATTTTGTCGGTTCCGAAACCTTGTCACAAGTGTTAAATGACAAGAGTTTATGTAGAAAATTAGAAAGGTTTCCTAGCATTAAATTCACTCGGGAATAGCCATGAAAAAGAAAAGAGAGTTTAGAAATTTGTTTTTCATGTTGGTTACATTTTGACAAACACAACCTTTATATCAATATCTTGAAACTTGCTTGCGAGTTCTCGCTAAAAAGAGTTCAATTGCCATTTACCTACAAATGAGCTCTTAAGAAACTCTTCATCAAATTTTCTTCATGAAACTCTCTTGATCTTGCATTCGTGGCAAAAGTTACCAAAATGTTTGAAATGCACAATGTTAAGTAGCCAATGAATGAACACAAATTTGTATGGTCCAACTAGTTGAACTAGTGAGGTGCTTTGTTTTAAAGTAGAAAACTTGATTTGAATGATTGAATCTTACTCGGATAATTAGGATTTCCTACTAACTCTTACCTTTTCCTCCCTTTTGCTAAGACCTTTGAAGAATGCAATTGACTGGGCATCTAGACCACCAAACTATCGGGTTGACAAAGCTCGTTGCCATTGTAAGTGTTGGAGGAAGTTTTGGTTGTGAGAGAGCACAATACCATCTTCACCAAATTGGATTTTATCTAGACCTCCATTTCATCAACAAGCCCAAGTTTTACTTGAATGCATTTACACCTCCTAAAAAATTCGCTAGCGATGACAACTTGATTGATACAACGTCCAAGGATAGACTAAAGGAAGTTCTTTTAAGTTTGCTTGCATTCATTTTGCGACTCCAAGGTAAGTGTTAAAATAATGTGGCATTAGAGCTTTGTCATGTTGGATTTTCACCTATTTGGTCCTTTATTCTATGTATAATGTTGCGTTTGGAAGCCGGACTTTAATTGCATTTCATTCCTATTATTGGCCTCCAATTATAGTTCTAATATATATTCAAAACTTTCAGTTTCTCGGTGTTCGTACTATCTATTGTGAGAGGTCCTAGTCAACACATCTTTTTTGAACTTTAAAAGAAACACCGTAATAGGTTAGGTGGTACATGGAAAGGGATAGAGTTAGGGACATGCGAAATGACAAGGATCGGGAGAAATCTAGGGATAAGAGTGATTCAGAAACTCGTTATAATTCCAACAAGCAATTCTTTTGGACAAGGAAGAGATAATCTAAACGGTAATTTTAATCCACAAAATTACAATGCTTACTTCAATTCAAAACGTCTTTTAACTTCAAGAAAATATATATCCGGTCGGCATGTTTTTTGACCTAATTTTTATGTTTTTGATATGTGGTTTCGTAGATGAAGACGAACAAGATGATTTTGAAGAAAGGATTGCATTGAAATTAGCTGAATAGGAGGAGGAAGATTTCAATAGAATAAAGAAGGAGAGTAAAAAGTGAAGGGAAGCCATTCTTGAAAAATATAGAAATCAACGATTACGAGTAACAAAATGATTTTGGTTATACATGCTTGCTTGATGGGTCTCACTTAGATATGGTAATTTGCTTGTTGAAATTTCATATCGTTATCAAGAAACATGATTCGAATTGTCATTTTATTTGATGTGAATGTTCCAACAAGTACATGCAATTTTTTCAACTTAAATAGTTATAGTATTTGATATGGGATATGCCTAAATTCATCAATTGAATTATGATTCTTATCAAATTTTTTTATAATTGATGAAAAATATATTGATAATTATATATAAAAAAAGTTATAGAAATAATTATTTAATTAATAAACTTAGCGATACTTTTTGATATCCCACCTAAATTACTAAAAATGATAATCATCAATTGAACGTGTTGATATTAATATATATTGACAATGTCTCACATGTGCACCTTCATTTATTTTTTGTTCCATTCCATCAAAAAATGAAATTTTTTTTATAATTTTATCCTTGACATGTAATTGATGTTTTTTCAAAGATAGAAGATGAAATGTAATTATTGTAAAATGGAAGCTTGGATCGTCCCCTTTCGATTCTCGCTAGATGCTAGCCCTTTGCAAATGTGTATCAAAACACTAGCTAACTCTAATCTCAAGCCCTAATTCTATTACCACCCATCTCCAACACTAACTAGCTACCCGTTATGTCATTAAGTATCTTTTCTATCAAATAACACCTTCAAATACTATTATTGCATTTGTATTAAAAGTATTTACCGTTCTTTATTCGGTTTTTGCTTTATGCTTCTATTTTTTTTTTCGTGTGGTATTTATCAGCCAAGTTATATATATATATGTTTGATGGTTCACAATTTGGGTTGCTATTTTAGCCGCAATCAATTTGTCCGTTTATTTTTGTAAATGCCAATTTGATTTGCAATGTAGATTGCTTTGGATCGGTCTTTTAAAATTCATTTGAATTGTTGATTTATTTGGTTTTATAAACATTCAATGCTAGATAGGAGAATAACGAGTAGAGGGTTGTTAGTTGGTTTTGATTTATGATAAGACATATCTTCCGCATTCAAGAGAGGTAAGTTTTTTATATCCTTAACTATTAAAAAACTATATTTGTATTTGAAATCTATCTACATATATTATTTGATCTCGTGTTTCTATATTATGTAATACTTCATATGTGCATTTTTTACTTTCAAGCAGCTTTATGTTTTTATGACATTAGTTTAGATAGTAATATTACAATATTTTGCATTTAACATAGATGGAAATGAATGTCATTGAGAACATGCATGATGAAGAACAAAGATGTAATACACCGAATGAGAACTTGTTGCAATCAAATGGTGGTTGTAACTCCCGTGAACTTATTTAACGTAGCTATACGTACGTAAATAATTTTATCTACATCTATTAAGTCACAATTATAATTTATATCATGTTTGTGTTTGGTGAGTTTAAGATGCTTAGGTAAAAAAAATCGATATATCAAAATTTAATTCATGAACCCAAATATCTCTTGAAATATCCATGATTATGTGAGCATAAATTATGTGCCATTTCTTTTATATTTGTGGTGTGAAAATATTTAAGGTTTATGAAATTGTTCATCGAAATACTTTTTTAGAATTTAACTAACCATTATTTATTTTTTCATAATGTATATTTAAAATGACCATGCAAGTGAAAAATATGTCCCACTTAAGAGTCATGGTCGAATTTTATGAAC